ATTCAAGAAGGGAGAGAAAAATGAATTTTGCATTTTTCTTTTTCCAAATAGATTTCCAAAAGCATTTTCAAATAGGTTTTGAATTCATTTGAACTTTGAATCATGATCAATCATCATAAAATTAGATATGCAGCAGCATGTATGAATCAAAAAGTTTCTAACCTTATTTTTAATTTTAATTCCACAAAATTTATTATTTTCCTATATTTTAATGCACACATATTTGCATAAATAAATCATATTTACTAATTTTAAAAGAATGTAATTTTTAGGGTGTTACAATTTTTTCCTTGTGGGAAAATTCAAGAAATTGAGAATATTTTTTCCACTGTTAAAGAAAAAGTATATTCTCCAGTGTTTTTGAACCGACATGATATTTAACTAGAGAAAAGGAAGGTTTTTCCAGTAAATGTTTATTTCCTGGAAATTGATTAATGGATTAAAGAAAATTGAAAAAGCAATTTTCCCTATGGGTAAAATTCAAGAAAAAGAGAGTTTTTCCACAGCCAAAGAAAAGTTGTTTATACTCCAGTTATTTTGAACCAATGTGGTATTTAATTGGAGAAAAAGAGATTTTTTCCGCTGCTAAAGAAAATGTTGATTCTCCAATTATTTTGAACCAATGTGGTATTTAATTGGAGAAAAAGAGTTTTGACATGATTATGATGTTGTTATTTTCTGACCAACATTGTTAATAACAATATCGTAATGCTAATGATTTATGCATTAATTCTACTTCTGCCCAACGGTGATGTAGAATTAGTGTATAAGAAAAGTTGATAATGTTAATGATTTATGCATTATTTCTACTTACGCCTTAACGGTGATGTAGAATTAGTGTATAAGAAAAGTTGATAAAGTTAAAGATTTATGCATTAATTCTATTTTCACCAGCGTGATGATGTAGAATTAGTGTATAAGAATAATTGTATGTTTTGTTTTTGACCAACGTTGAAATCAAGGCATGCAAATTGTGTTATTTTTATGTTAAGAAAAGTTTTGACCTGGTTTTCATCTTGTCTAAGGTGGACTGGGTAGTCACCTCACCGTGTTCCACTGAGTTTGTGGCACCGGTGAGGGAGACAAAAGAGAATGATGCCACTTAGGAAACTAAAGAAAGGGATTTTGAATCTCAAAAGATATCCTATGACTCCTTGGGCATAGAAAATGAATCACTACCAACACGAAAAAGTTTGGCTATGATAAAGAACATGATTGAACCTGCAATTGTGGGCTCAATTCCAGAATGTGACACGGTCACTGAGTACCTCGATAGAATAAAGAGTCAGTTCACTGGCTCTTCAAAGACATATGCCACTTAGCTGATAAAGCAGCTGGTCACAGAGTGTTAATCTGGAAAAGGTGGCATAAGAGAGCTCACGATGCGTTGTCAAAATTATGGCACTGTCGTTTAGGCCATATTTCGAAGGGGAGAATAGAAAGATAAGTTAAGAATGATATTCTTCCTCCATTAGAGCTCTCAGATTAAGTTCAGAGAATGCATAAAAGAAAAGTATATAAAGAAGATTAAGAAAGATGACAAACGAAGCGCAGGAATCTTATAGATTATTCACACAGACATCTGTGATCAGTTTCCTGTAAAGAGTGTGGATGGTAATGATTCGTTCATAACATTCACATATGAGTACTCCCATTATGGCTATATTTATCCAATCAAAGAAAAAAAGATGTATTGGATAAATTTAAGATATTAAAGATTAAGATAGTCAGGTCTGACCGTGGGGGAGTACTACGGTCGGTATACCCTAAAAGAATGACATAGTAGCCCAGTATTCTACACCGGGCGAACCTTAGTAGAATAGAGTAGCTAAAAGAATCAATCGCACCCTGATGGATATGGTGGGCTGTATGATAAGTTACTCCACCTTACAGTTGGACCTGTGAATGGAGGCGTTAAAACTGCCACTCATATTGTCAATAGAGTATCAAGAAATTCGGTGCCCAAAACACCGTATGAGTTGTGGACAGAAAGAGTACCCTCACTAAACCACTTGCGTGTGTGTGGGGGAGCCCTACTGAGGCTAAAGTATTTAACACAAAATAGTAAGTTGCCATTTGTTTGGTTACCTAGAAAAGTCAAAAGGTTTTTGTTTCTACTGTCCAGAGAGACATACAAAGTTTGTGGAAACGAGACACGCTGTTTTCTTATAGGATGAAAAGATGAGGGGGAGCATGGTAGCTCGAGAAATTGACCTTGAAGTGAAGCGGGTGTATGCGCCCACTCCAATGATTCATGAGCCATTTTTCTCACTACCTGCTGTAGCTGCACCGACAGTACTAGATATTGTGGTGCCAGCACCTGTTGTTATCCCACCTATGGCAACAATGAATGACGATGAGGAACCTGTTCTTCAGGATTCTATAGAACCTATTGCCACACATGAGGGGGAGCAACAACAGCCTTAAATAGAAGATGTGCCAAATGTGAAGGCCCCTAGTAGGTCTCAAAGAGTTAGAAAATCAGCTATTTCTGCTGATTATGAAGTGTATAACACTAATGAATTTCAAATGGAAGATGAAATGAAATCGATGAATGTCAATAAAGTTTGGGATTTGGAAATAATTCTTAAAGTAGTCAAAACAGTAGGCTGTAAATGGGTCTACAAGGCTAAACATGACTCTCAAGGGAATATAAAGACATATAAAGTGTGACTTGTGGCAAAAGGCTTTATGCAAAGAGAAGGGATTGATTACAATGAGACTTTTTCTCCAGTCTCATGTAAAGTTTCCTTCAGAATCATAATGGCATTAGTGGCACATTACGATTAAGAATTACATCATATGGATGTAAAGACGACATTTCTCAACAGAGACTTGGAGAAAAATGTTTACATGGCACAACCAAAAGGTTTTGTTATGGAAGGAAAAGAACGAACGGGATGCCGTCTAAAGAAATCCATTCATGGATTAAAACAAGCTTCAAGACACTGGTACTTGAAGTTTGATCAGACAATAAAGGATTTTGGATTTTAAAGAGAATGTAAAGGACAATTGTGTCTATACAAAGTAAAGATAATATAGAGGACAATTGTGTCAATACAAAGTTTAAGAATGGAAAGTTTATATTCCTTGTCCTGTATGTAGATGATATCTTACTTGCTAGTAGTGATGTCAGTCTACTACTGGAGATAAATAAATTTGATATGAAAGATCTTGACGAAGCCTCGTTCGTTCTAGGGATCGAGACTCACCGAGATAGAAGAAAAAGGGTATAAGGACTGTCACAAAAGGCATACATGGAAAAGATCTTAAAGAAATTCAGTATGCATAAATGTAGTTCCTCACCTGCTCCTATAGTCAAGGGCGACAGATATGGGGATTTTCAATGCCCTAGGAACCAATATGAGCTCAATCGATAAAGTAAAAGTGGTTCCATATGCTTCAGCTGTCGGAAGTTTGCAACATGCTCAAGTATGTACGCGCCCTGACTTGTCATTTGTTACCGGGTTTTACTTGGCAGATTCCAGAGGAATTCTGGAATAGAACACTGAAATTAGTAAAGAAAGTCTTGCATTATTTGCAAGAAATGAAAGGCCTCATGATGACATATAGAAGATCTGATTCACTCCACATGGTGGGATATTCAGATTCTGATTATGCGAGAGTGAATGCATATCCAGACGTGGATTTTCTATCATCTCGCAAAGGGGAGCTATTTTATGGAAAAGCTCAAAGTAAACTGTCACTATATCGTTCACAATGTATGACAGTTTGTAGCGTGTTATGAGGCAACGGGCAGGTGAATTAACTAACGAAGTTCATACCCGGTTTGAAGGTGGTTGACAACATCTATAGACCACTAAAGTTATACTGCGATTATAATCTGGCAGTAAAGGATGCTCACAACATAAGTCAAGTGGTGCTGCCAAACACATTGACATAGAGTATTATGTTGTGAAAGATAAAGTCCGGGATCAAGTTATAAGTCTTGAGCATATAAGAATAGAAAGGATGCTCGCGGATCCGCTTACAAAAGGCTTACCACCCAACATGTTCAGAGGACATGGTGTTCAGAGAATATGTAGCTAGCTTGGGTTTAAGGGAAAGCCTAAAATATTCTTGGACAAAAGAAGGCCCAAAGATAAGTATCTATTTCAGAACAGAGTAGTGAGTTGTAGCTGTTAAGTCTATCGGCAATGGACCGTGACGATGAGACATGCTCTATGAGCTAATTTGTAATGGAATGAACAAAAGTAAATGATATGAAAATAAAAGATGGAATGAGATCAAGGGGGAGAATGTTAGTTGATCTCCACCAATAGGCCCAACGGCCTATTGGGCCCTTATCTCTGCTCCCTGATCGGGGGAGCCCAACCCTAATCCAGTTGATGGGCCCCTGTCGCACAACACACATAAAAGGAAGGTGGGGGTGAGGGCTCGAATGACGAGGTTCAACGGAGCCGCCACCCACCTACAGAGAAACCCTAATTCGATCCTAAAGCGTGCTGTCAGCGACGGGATGAGCCCGCCACCACCACCGCCGTCGCCTATGCAGGGACACCGCCGGCGCCACTAGATTGAGTCTCCGCCGCCACCACTGTACCTCGCCATCGAGTCGGAGCTGCCTTGGCACTGGCGTCCGCGAGGCTGCATCCAGGGCGGCATCGGCGTCCACGCTGCCGCTGCGGTGAAGCTCCACAAGGTTGAGGAGCCTAACTACGGATCTACGGTTTACACACAGAGGTACCAATCCTACGATCCTAACAGAAGAATGAAAAAGGGCTAGATTAGACTCATTAACATAAAAATAAATCAGTAAAATGAATAGATATACTCAGCTAATTGTGAATTTGGTCCTAGTAGGCTAATGTATAATTTTTAATGGTTACATGGTAATGATCGATGTCTAATTTCTGCGGCTACTACACATCTGACTCAATTTTAAGCGACACATGCGTAGAAGATAGCCCATTCTTATCATCAATACTGCTACCATTACCAAAAGTATATCAACAGATAAATTTTACCTAGCAGTCACTTCACTCTGATCCACCAAATCTTGCGATGAGCTTCTGCTCAATCTCCAGCCTCTTCTTAACCAACAATGTGTAGTTGTTCAGAAGCTCAGTGTCTCCCTCACAGTCCCCAAAAGGAACAGCCAACTTCATGCTAAGTGATGTTCCATCTAATCTTCCTGAGTACACACATGAGAATGGCACGAACTCGTCTTGCTGCTTACAAAGCCACCCATGGGCTGCTCGCAAAGCAGCACCCAAAGAGGCAGAGTCTGTATTCATTGAATGATATATAGGCATACCAGAATTAGCAAGCAAATTAAAAAAATACAAGAATATGCGAGCATGCACAACAACTAGATCAATTATAAATAGAACAATCGCTGTTCATCATATTGTTTTCATAGCAGGAATGGATACTGATACAGGTATATTAATACTATGTTTTTAAGGAAGCAGGAATGGACAACCAAAAATAGATGCCATTATCTTGAGAATTGTTGGGTTTGAGGACGCGCCACCGGTTGCTATAATCCGTTTTGGAGGTACTGGCAGGCCACATTGCTCAGAATGGCCTCTCATGGACATGAACTGCCCTTCAATTATCGCACGAACCTAAATCATGACTGTTAATTAAATGAGCATTTCAAACAGTTTGATTTACAGGTTTTGAGATCTTCAAACCTCTGAAGGAGGATCAAACTTGTCAACTTCTTCCACCATCTCACCCAAAGGTCCACTAGTGAAGTTCTTGACAACGTAGCGGTGAAATCCAACTATGCATGTAGGTGAGCATCTAATCTAAATGAGCACTGAGATGAAGGTTGAATTGCGAAAGGGAAAAAATGTAAGGACAAAACTAACCTGGAAGTGGTGGGAGAATCTCATGTTCCTTGTAGTAAAATCCCAACTTCCCTCCTGCAAAAGCAGGAAATTATAAGTCCAGGAATCTTCAGGAAAGTTACTTTTGTGTGGTCAATGCAAGCATCTATTGTGAACATCAAGGAAAGGTGAGCGCTTTATGTAGTAACTGCATTAGTCATGTTGGGATCAAAAGGCATAACCATAATACTGCACTGAGTTGCCAATTTTTGCAAGGCTGTAAACTGAGTGGTTGAAATATGTTGTTTGCCATGATTTCTAGCCAAGCAGTTATCTCAGCTCCCCAACATATTCTCTGATGTCCATTGTATAAACATAAACTCACATTTAGTTATGCTTAAGGAAACTAGGCTATCAATTCTTCAGTAAATGGAATGATGAAACAATAATAGATTGGTGTACCATTCAAGGGGGCTGTTTCTTCAAGCAACCTGTTGAAATGATCCCAAGATCTATCAGCATAACGATTGCGAAGTTCTGAACAAAATGTATGTATTAGCAAGGGGGTGGAGCACAATAGAAGTTACTTGCAAAGTTGCAAACCATACCTTCTTGTGTTATCCATTTTTATAGCAAAGCAGAACCATGTGGGTCTTGGGATCGACTGGATTAGGAAAGATGTTTCATTCTAGGGTTGGTTCAGGTGAATCGGTGACCCCGAAAACCTGAAAGGGCCATAAAGGCACCACAATCAGCACCAGGGGTTAATACAGAACTAGATAGAATGAAACAATGTCGCATATTGAGTACATTTTCCAGGATTCTTTTACAAACTGATCCACTGTAGTAGAAGTAAGGTTCAATTTGCAAGTTTTGCCAATTTCAGAACAAGATCATAGTAGGTATTGCTAGTCTGCTACGTGTTTTCTTTTTAGTAATAACTCTTTTGGGAAATAGGTCAACCAAAAAATTGTAACAAAGCAAGGTGGTAGAAGATTACTGTATCACTTGTCCCAAGGCTTATTGCTAGATCACCAGGATTGCTCAAAGTTAAGCCTGCACAATCACACATGTATGGAAGCCAAAAGCATTTTTTTAAGTTTGCAGCATGCAAGCAGTCTTGACATACATATGGAACAATTAATTTGGCCATCTCTATCTCTATATATAATTCTAATCCGGAGCCAAGGTTCGGGCGGTGGATATGGCCACGTCACCCGCTAACCTATACACCGTTGGATTCAGCAACGAAGCGATATGGTCTGTCCGATTACCATAGTTATTAAGGCGGTAAGGCGAGGTGCGGCGCCCGACCCCCTTCCAGACGCCTAGGCGTTTAAGGCGCGAGGCGAGGCGACGCCTTACTAACGTCTTAATATATAATACCACTAGAAATCATAAGCAAATCATATCATATAATATCATAATAAATAGCGCTGCTACAGTAACAGGACATAACATAAAGTAGCAAACTAGCAAATTTGAAATCTCTCATCTCTCAATAGGAGCAAATTAGACTCAGTGACATAACATAACTTAATTACTAGTGCTGCTAGTCCATAGCAGCCACAGATAGCAAGCAACCAGCGGAGCAGAGTAGAAGGAGCAGAGCAGAGGAAGAAGATGCAGAACAGAGTCCACGCAGCAGAGCAGAGGAAGGAGATGCAGAGCAGAGGAAGGAGGGAGAAAAGGACGCACCGAAGGCAAGGGGCAGATCAGGTGGGGATTGGGGACGACCTCTTCTCTTCCCCTCTCTCCTCTGTTTCCCTCTCGCTCTCCGGACGGCGGACGGAGCAGTCGTGACGGGGCGGGAGTCACGGATGAGCTGAGTCGTGCGGATGGGGCGGAGTCGTGCGGGGCAGCCGCCTGCGGCGGCGCCGGCACCGAATTTCAGGTGCTCTGCCGCCCTCTTCTCTTTTCCTCTCTCCTTCCTTTCCCTCTCCCTCTCCCTCTCTCTCGGACGGAGCAGAGTCGCGCGGACGTGCGGCCTCGCGCGGCTGGGACGGACTTGCGCGGGGCAGTCGCCTGCGCCGCCGCCGCCGCCACCGGATTTGAGGTGCGTCGCCGCCCTCTCCTCTCTTCCTCTCTCCTTCCTTTCCCTCTTCCTCTCTCGCTCTCTCAGACGCGATGGGGATTGGGAGCCTTTGGCGGGAGGTGTAGGCGCGGCGCTGCTGATTTTCCCGCGCGAGGGCATCGCGCCGCTCTTTTCCCGCCCGCTCGAGCGCGCGGCGCCGCTCTTTCCCCGCACCTTTTACGTCCGCGGCGTCCGCCTCAGCGAGAAGGACGACTAGGCGACGACTTCGACCGCGAGGCGACGCCATACGCCAGGAGGATGCGGCGACAGCGACGCCACGTTTGAAAATCCGCTCGGACAACTAGTCGTCGCCTAGGCGACGCCTTAAAAACTATGCCCATTACGGGTCCAATCGGTCTCCGCCTAGTTTCGTTGCGACCCTGAAACCCCAGACCCTGAAACCCCTGCCGAGGCCGCGCCACCACCGCCGCTCGCCACGAGGGGCGCCACACCAGCCCATATGGCACATGCTGGCAGAACTGGCAAAGGGCGGCGCGAGAGACAGCGACGACACCTGGTGCGGATGAGCCGAGTGGGCTCTCTCCTTCCCGTGCGCAGACTGCCTCCTTCCTTTGCGTCGCGTGGCGCAGCATGGACTTAGCTAGCAAGGGAAGGAGATGTGGCGGATGCGTGTCAAGACTCAAGTGGAGTTAGAAGCGGCGACCATTGCACCTGCATGGCTGCAACGTGCTCTCCACCACCAACACCATGCTGCGGCGCTTGGCCACCTCGCACGTCGGCCTATGCCCTCCGCGTGCTCTGCCACCCACTCCACCTCACGCCTTCCGCTGTTCTGCACAGCCGCAGCCACAAGGCCACACCCTGCGGTGCGGCGTGACACTGAAGGAAGCCCGGGGATAACAGCCACTCGAGGCTCACCAGCATGGTGTTCGATGAAATGGCTGTCCCAAACATCATGGCCTGCGGCCTGCCTGCCACTTCGCCATCCTAAACGAAGACGGTACCTACCGCTGATGGTGAGTGTACAACGACTCAACTCTGACAACTCTGAAGCGAGCCGTCACTGCTCCCCTGCCGATTGTGCAGTGTTGGGCATGACGGTTACCCATCAGATCGAGCCTTGCTCGGCATCCCCGCCGCCAGTGTGTGGCCGAAATAGTTTTGCCTATCTAACTTGCTTTAGGTTACTGTGGTGTTATACTATTTTAGATGTGCCATGTGTGGTAGTCAAGGGGGCAGTTGCTTGGTCAAATGAAAAAAAAATCCTAGGCTGGCGAACTCAAGGAGGGCGCGGCAAAGCCGCGCCGAGTTTTCTAGTTCTTTATCTAGACAAACAAACATCAGAACATACTAAGATATTTGAATGCAAAAGATTAGGATGAACCTAAGTACCTGCAAGGCTATTGGGATTGTCGCCTGACCACTGAATAACTATACAGCTGCTTGAAAACTGAAATCTGCAAGAACATAAAAACAGAAGTATCAATCTGACAAGTTGGTGTCACGAGTAAACAATGATAAAAAAAAAGTTGCTGCAGCTCATTCACATTATCCAGCCTTTCATGATTTGAACAGAGACACGCACAACACACAAAAAAGAAAGACATTTAGCAAAACTTACCTCTGAACAAAATAAGGGGCTATCTTTCCAGCAACAGCATGTGCTGGTGGCTAGTCTCCCAATCCGCTCTTCCAAATCTGGAGCCATAGCCTACAAAATTGAAATGTAAAAATGTTGAACTGAGCTGAATTCTTCTTTGAACTGATTGGGCTTAATTGTAGGATGTGCCACTTCCATCTTTTTAGTTACAATTTGCAATGGCGAACACAGTTGCAAGTCTGAAATCTGAAACTCTGAATCAGTGAAGGGAACCATGAACTCCATTTCTATGTAGAGGCAAACACCAAGAGAACCTGAAGAGCATCCTGGCGTAGCTGGCGCGTGTCGATGTCCATGATGTTCATTCCGGCTCCATCGGTCTCATCGATGCAGGCGTACCCGCCGACGAGCAGCGACGCCATGAACGAGCTCACCAGCGATACCCTCTCGGTGGCCTCGTACACCTGCGGCCGGGTCTGGTGCATCTTCCGTATCTGCGGCCCCGTGCAGCGCCGGTGCGCGCGGCACCCCGTGAGCCTCGCCAGGCGCAGGGGCCCGCCCATGGCCGCCTCCATCTCCCGGCACTGCGCCGCGGTGCTGCTGTCCATCCACACGGGCGACTCCGGCGCCCTGAGCTCGCCCGCGGCCGCGAGCTGCGGCGCCAGGCCCTCGCCGGCGGCAGGGTCCAGGGCGGCCAGCGCCCTTGGCCCAGTACACGCTGCCGTGCAGCTGCGCGGAGCCGGAGACGGCGGCGACGCGGCGGAGGTCGGCGTGCCGCCGCAGCCTCCCGAGGAGCAGGTCCAGCGCCTCCGCCCACATGAGCGGCGGCGACATGATGCGGCCCCGCTCGGCGGGGTCTTGGTCTCGGAGGACGCCGCCGCGGGTGCCGTAGTGCGGGAGGTCCGAGTCGAAGTGGACGGAGTCGGTGGCCACGATGCACAGGCCGGCGTCCAGCACCGTCGGAGCCTGTTCGCTAGCTTTAAAAAGAACAGTGTTTTCCACACCAACAGCAGCAGCCGGCAATAGGGGTGGTCCGGTGGAGAGCTAGCAAGTCAAGAAGCTCAAGAGCAGGCTGTGGAGGCAGCCCGAGAGTGAAAAATAAAGTATTGACCGCAGCAGTCAGTGTGAAAATAGTGAAAAAAATTAAATGGATATTAGCATTTATATAATATCAAATAAATTCCTACGAGACTTATGTTAGGGTTGAACGGGGATTTTGGGCTGGGCTCGAGACTTGTTCCCTGGGAATTAGGCCCGTGTTGCCTTTTATGTGCTTGGCTGCCTGTGCTGCAGCGAGCCTTTAGTATTGTTCTTCTCTGACGATGTGGTTCTCTTTCTGCTAGTATTGTTGTTTCATTTCACTTGCCATGTGCTTCTGTCTGCGGCAGTGTGGCATCTCTGCTTTTGTTCATGTGGTTTGTGTCATGACATCTCTTGTTGGATTAGGATCTATAAATGTTCGCTTGTCTGAATTCTGGAGGAATTTGGATGGTTTGGAGGAATGCTGGAGGAATTTGTGAGAGAAAAATACTGTTTTAGATGAAAAAATAAGCGGATCAAGTCGGGTTTAAAGGCACGCAAACGGGGCCAAAATCATGTTGCTTGTTTTGTCTAAGATGCTTACGGACTCCCTGATCACCTATGTAGCAAGGGTTCCTTACTAGGAAGTGTGACCTTGAAGAGCTCTGTTTTGACGTTCCTTTTGTGGAGTGCCACCAGGAAAGGGCAATCAGTAGCTAGACCGCTCTGCTTTAGAGACTGCTAGAAATACTAGGTGCCTCTGCTTTCTGAATTCCTTATTTTTTTCTCAGAATTCCATATATTCTTGAGTGTAAGGAACAAGTTCTATTTTGTGAAATACCTAGGGGACCATGTTTGGTTGATTCCTGTCAAACCCTGCGCACATTTGTCTCCATTCCTTTCATGTATGCTATGGGAGATCTTGACTTTACAAGTATGCCAGTCATGTTGACACTCCTGCTTGTCGTTGTACACTTTATATCTGCTTGACTATTTGTAGTTGGCATCAGTGCTTACAGTCATAAGCTTTTAGTATTTGCGTGTTGGGAAGGAATGCCGATATGCTTAGTTGTGCATGAGTAATGCTGTGGTCTTTAGAGCATGTATTTTCTAGAACAGCAACACTTTATATTGCAGAATGCGGTCTGGTATATGCGTGGTGGTTTCTGTAGGAACAAATTAAACTTGTTTTCTCTTTGGCATTACAGTGCAACAAGTGCAACACCTCGCGAAGTAATTTTGTACCTCATTAACATTTATGGGCTGGCTGTTCAAACAGTGTTTGCATGTGTATAATGGATTTGCATTATCAGAATAGCTGTCAGTTGTTACATACTCCATTGTACACATGCAACAACTTTGCTGAGAACAGAACTCAAGTCCACCGCTGCAGCCCCCCCCCGCCCCGCCCAGCCCTTTTCTATTTTTTTTCCTCTTGTTTCCTTTGGATATTATGTGATACAAACTAGCAGATGTTTCTTGGGGATTAGGAATCGGCTTCTAGATTTTGTTTATTCAAATGATATGTATTTTCACATCAGGAAATTTCTTTTGTAGGATGCTGATATCATCGTTGAGATTGAGAAGGAGCTTGGCGCCACAGATGCTGACAGAAGGGGTCATAAGACCGGGAAAGCACTCAAATGTCTCCAAAAGCTTGAGCAGGAGTCTATAGTGGTGAACTTGTTGAAAAGTTGCAGCAACAGCTGCAGCGAACACTGATGCCATATAAGGAACACAGGAACTATGACTATGTTTTTTTATACATGTTAAACTGTTAATTTGCAGCACCTCTACATTTATGGGCTAAAACTAACTGTAACAGCTCTATATCTAAAAATAGGTGTTCCTGTCAGCTTATGGTATGTACATGATTACCCATCCACTAAATGGCAGGGATCCGTTTCATACGATTTGCTTTCCTAGAAACAAAGTATTATCTCCTTTCATTCTTGGCTTCTATATTTAATTTCTGTGTTTGCGTTGCAGAATCCTGCAATGGGTCTCCTTCAGGAGATTAAAAATGTTCTGAAGTCTGACGTGCTCCCACCTGAAGCATCTGAGGTGGCAAAGCTAGACAAAGCTTTTGTAGAGTATGCCAAAAATACAGCCACTGCATATGCCACGGCCTTCAATGCTATTGAAAGGATCAAGATGCCTAAGAGGAGGGTGAATTGGGCTAATTCTAAATTTTCTTGCAATAATTAAATCATACGGTTAGCCCAATTACCCCTTGTGCCTAGAAAAGTGTTTCTAATAAACTAACGCACAATGGACTAGCAACCTATGTTCCAAACTTACTCTAGCATGGCAATTCTATAAATGTAAAGACAAGTATTGAATTGCTCAAAGTAAATGCTCAAAGTAAATAGAAAGAGAGGAACGCGGCGATGTTTTGCCGAGGTATCGGAGAGTCGTCACTTCCTACTAGTCCTCGTTGGAGCACCCGCGCAAGGGTGTAGCTCCCCCTTGATCCGCGCAAGAATCAAGTGCTCTCTATGGGTTGATTCTTCGATACTCCGTCGCGGCGAATCACCCAAAGCCGCTCACAACTTGAGTTGGGTCACCCACAAGCTCCGCCGGGTGAACACCAAGCTCCCAATCACCACCAAGTCGTCTAGGTGATGGCGATCACCAAGAGTAATAAGCACGAACTCTCACTTGACCACGCGAAGCCTAATGAGAAGATGGATGCACACTTGTCTACTCTTGATTCACTAATGAGGCTACTCTCTTGGATTCTCAAATCCCAATCACCTCACTAGAACCTTCCTCTTCTTGGCACTCACAAACGTGTTTCTCAGCTGTTGCAATGGGCAAAAGTCACTCCACACACGAGTGGAACTTCTATTTATAAGGAAGCCTGAAAAACGAACCGTTATGTGCCTCTGCGGGGTGACAGGACGCTCCGGTAATGTTGACCGGACGCTCCGGTCAGGTCAACCCGCATACCAGTGAAAATGTGTTGACCGGACGCTGACAGGGTCTGGTCACCACTGACCGGACGCGTCCGGTCGCATTAAACCCTCACTGGAACCTTACTGTACTCGACCGGACGATGAACCCCCAGAGTCCGGTCAGCACTGATCGGACGCGTCCGGTCGCAGATTCCCTTCTCTGGAACCTTACTGGAGTCGACCGGACGCTGCCTCTCAGCGTCCGGTCACTTGACCACTCCAGCGTCCGGTCGCACCGAACGCAATCTCTTGATCAAATGAACTGACCGGACCCTGCGGTCAGCGTCTGGTCAGTATTTGACCCTCCATTCACCTTCAACTCTCGATCATGTGTGAATGAAGTTTGCTCCATTTGATCTTAGGCATATGTAGGAGCTACCTAGAGCTAATTTAAACAAGTGTGCACCACACCTAACTCACTAGACTCATCTAGGTCAAGCTACCCATCCATACCCCCCTTAATAGTATGGCCAAAGGAAAAACAAAGTCCTAAACTACTCTAAGTGTCACTCCAACTCCAATCGACACTTAGAACTAGCCATCCTTAACCTTATCGTCCATCCTTTGAAAACCGAAACGATTTCCATCGTAGGGGCATGACCACCTCGATTGCCCAATCGATCTCCATTACCATGACCTAACTTAATTGCCTCTGCAAAACACACATTAGTCATAGTAATCTTGTATTGTCATTAATCACCGAAACCCAACAAAGGGGCCTAGATGCTTTCAGCTATCAACATCTTCGGAACCACACTAAGCTTTGTTATTGGCAACAGTAGTGAAATGATCGAGAATAACCCTCGCATCCATGGGGTGTTCATCGCCATGACCATTGCTATCCTTCTTATAAGCTTGCTTACAGTCGAAATGTCACACGCACTTGCGCACAGGCTGCAATGGAAAAAGAAGGTGGTCATAATGCTAATGGTTGAAGTGCTCTTAAGTATCTGAGCCTCATGAAATCAACCAATGCTTCAACCCAAAATGAGTCGCATCACTCTCATTAGACCACTGTCAATTGTCCCAAACTCCTAATAGAAGTTTTGAAACCTTTCCTTACTATCCTTACTATAAAACTCGCCTCAAAACAAGTCTAAATGACTATAAAAAGATATGGTCTTTAGCATTGACTAATTCTTGGAGTAAAACCTAAAAACATAATAACAACATGTAATCAACTTGTTGTAGGTAGAAACAAGTGCGATCTTAAGCTTTTCACCTAGACACTTCAATAATAAAATATTCATGAGCACATATGCATAAAACCACCAGCTTAGTCACTCAGAAAGCAAAATTCGAGCTTAAAATATGTGATTGATACTATCATTGTGCTGCTTCACAACACACTCCGCTAATATAACAAGTAGAAATTAGAGTAAAGGTCATTCTCCATCGTCGACAGTCGAACTATAAATCAAAGTACAGACCATTACTATGTTAAAATATTACACAAGACTACACACACCATTAAGTGGTTATCCTATCATTTACCCTACTCACACTCACCCTTCTCACTTCTACAATGCTCTTGGAACGATTGCATGGTAAGGAGGGCTACCTCTTTTTATAGGCCATAAGAACTCATGGAGATGAAA